CGTGGGGTGAGGAGCAAGGAGTCAGCGGGCACTCCGGGTGCCCTTGCCCTACTCAACTAGGCCTGGGGAAACCGAACAAACTCACCCGAACTCGAGTTCCTGCTTGGAGGGGCGGGGGGGTGGCGCTCGCGCGCAGACCCGACCGCAGACAGGATGGGAACACACAGCCACTCAACCGTTGCGTGGAAAAGCAACCCGCGGCCGGCATCGGCGACTTTCTGAACCCGGCCCGCCGCGCCCGAGTGTCCCACCCCCGGGAGGGAGTCAGGGAGAGAGCGCGGCGCCGGGCCTATGCCGTGACCGCAGGCAGGGACCGCAGGCCGCGAGCCAGGTCAGGAGTCGCAGGAAAGTAGCCGGGCGCCCGCCGGGTCCGGGCACCTCCCAGGCCAATTCGCTGCCTCACCGGCCTCTCATGGGCCCCGAGCTCCCGGCTTCGCTCTTTTCGTTTGAAAGAGATCTCCCGGGAGACCGCGGCCTCCAAACCGTTTTCTTAGGACAAGCCTCCAGGCCGCCGCGTCGGTCTCAAGCTAAAAAGACTGGGAGGGCAGAGGGGCAGCTGTGACCCCAGGGATCCTTGCAGCCCTGCCCATCTGGGACCTGTGACCGCGCCAGCTACATGAGGCGCGGGCAAAGCCGCAGTTCGCGCCCTTTTGGGAGTGCAGCTACCTTGCGGGCGCGGGGAGTCCGGGGGGGCGGTTCGGAAATTCACGTAAGAGGAATCCCACCTCCTGGACCTGCCCCCAAACGTTCAGCGACACGGAAAACTGCGGGGTGAGGGATTTGCAAACACCCCTGGGGCGTCTGCCGGACGCGACGACCCCAGCTGGTGCTGGGGCAGGTGAGCAGGCGCCGGGAGCCGCGGCGCAAACCCGCCGGGACTGGCCCGCTTTCAACGAAACGCGCCACTCAGGCCCAAGTGGCTCGGCCGAGTGTGTGGCGGGGAGGGGGACTCGGGAAGGTCCAGCGGCCGCGCCCTGAGCTGCGGGAGCGCGGAGGGCCCCCACCGAGGCAGATCGTTCCACAACTCTGATTCCGGGTGAGGAACTGCGCAGAAGGCGTGAGGCTGGCGGTCCGAGTCTCCCGAGGGATTTCTGCTTTCAAAACTCAAGTGACACACGAGAGAGAGAGAGAGAGAGAGAGAGAGAGAGAGAGAGAGAGAGAGAGACAGAGAGAGAGAGACAGAGAGACAGAGAGAGAGAGAGAGAGAGAGAGAGAGAGAGAGGAGAGAGAGAGAGAACCCGCTCCCTTCTCTTCTCCTTGAGTCAAAACAAGGGCTCTATTTGCCCAGGACAGAGGCCTTCTCATCCGCTAACCTTGGAAATAGCCCGGCGAATGCCTCCTTCTCACAAGATCACCCTCGTTCCTTTAGAAATGGCTCCAACTCAAAGCTCATGCAGCTGTGTGTGGGAGTGGTGTGCCAGCCGTGGCTGGTCCGTGGGCGCCAGTAAGTGGTGGCCTACTGGCTTTGTCCTGAGAGCTTCCTACCCAACTCCAGATGCAAAGGCCTCAAATTGTCCCATTCCAAAAGTCAAGGGAAAAAGCATTCTGTCTGTGTGAGATCATGGGGCGCACCCACCAACTCCTGTGCCAGAAAGTCCGATACTCCCAGGGGACTTCCAACGCAGCTCAAAGTGCTAGGAAGCATTTCCATGAAGCCCAAATGCCCATAGGGTCACAAAAGTTTTCTCTTTTCTGGCCCTGGATAGAGCTGCTCATTTTTGTGCTTGCTGAAGTATTTTTAGTGCAAGCCTCGAGTGAGCATCTTAAGAGAGAAATGAGAGCAAGGATTCTGGAAATCTGGAGAGGTAGACCCAAGGCACCTGGCACCCATAGGCCTGGCAAGCAGCTGTTCTAAGCACTGGAACAGGAGGCTGAGACTGTCTTAGGGTCAGGCTGGCATCTAACAAATCCCCACCCAGACACCTACCAAGTGTTCTGTCCTGTGGCAAAGACTGGGAGGGAGGGAGCAGGCAGGAAGGGACTGAGAAGCACGAAGAGACCCTAGCTGGGCTCCTAACCTTTTCAGGGCAGGCATCTAGAGGCCCCTGCTGCCAAGAAGTTCTGGCCCAGACCTGCTAGTACTGGATCCTACAATCATAGAAGAGTGGATGACTGGAGACATAAGAACACACACACACATACACATACATTAGGTAATGGCTCTATAGGTTTTCTATACATGTTCAGTAATGACTTTTTATAAGACACACACTGTATCACCCAGAGTGGCAGGTCCCTCCTCTGCTTTACTCTGCAGTGCTGAGTGTTGCCAGGAAGCTCCAGGACCTGGGGAGCAAAAAGGGAGCAGTGCTGGGAGGGACAGGGAGTCTGAAACTCCAGAAAAGTCACCAAAAATCTGCCTATGCTGAGCATTAACAGGACCCAGTCCTGGGGGAAGTCCATTCTTGAAGCAAATGCTAGGGCCTGATTTTACAGTGATCATCTCCACTTTTTCAAGGTTAATGCTCTAAAACCCACCCAACCCCAGAACTGGCAGGAATTTGAAAGATCATTCAGGTCTCATCTAATAGTGGAAAAGAATGAAACAGAGCACACCAGAAAAGACACAGCAACCAAAAGTCACACCAGGAAGTCACTGCTTGGTCCCACCCACAGCTGGCTGAGGTGCTTCTCTCCAGCCCCAGCCTGATCAGATGGCCATGGCCAGAGCTGCCAACTGAGTCCTCTTAACTGTGTGGCTGAGAAGAGGTGCTGGGGAAAGAATATGTTGCCCTTTGTTGGAGGTTAGCAAGACTGGGCTCTGAAACTCATTACAGTCTGGGATAAATTCTTCCCTAGGTCTCTCAGGATCCCACACAGGGGCAAACCCTGTGTGGCAGCTCATAGAACTCCCAGTAGGGTGGGCCTGGATGCATCAGACTACCTCCTCTCCCCTGCAAGACTACACTGATGCCACCTGGATTTCTGCAGGGAGCTGTCCTCCTGGTGCTGGCTTGGAACCTACTTTGACAGTCCTGTGGCCTCAACACCAGGAGCTAAAGTCTTAGAGGAGTCCTGGGTTCTGTGCTCTCTGCTTACAACACCCCAACAGGGCTTGCAGCATGCTAAAGCAGAAAGAAATTTTTGGAAATCCTGCTGGACACTTAAAGGAATAAATAAGTGCCTTACCCATAGACATTAAGCAAAACCAAAGGTCCAACCCAGCGCTCTGGACTCCAGTTCCAGTGCTCCCATCACAGCCCCCTAGAAACCCTAAAGGGGTGAGAACAAGAAATCTAGCCTAGACTCAGGTTCCATAGCCCTAGGCGGAGAGCAGAACCAGGATCGGTGCTGGCTGGAGTCCTGGTATTGCGAATGGCACTGAGAGCCTCCGGCCTGCAAACAGCTGTGCGGGAAGAGGGGAAACGGAAGTGAGAGGACAAGTCGGGCAAGGAGCTAAGCCCGTAGAAACAGCAGAAACCACATACTCACACTCACACACACACAAACACACACGCGCACACACCAGTTCCCCACATGCGCCCTTCTCCCAGAGAACCAACACCACGTGCCCTGACAAATAAAGCAAAAATCAGGACACCTCCCCCCGCCCCGCCGCCGCCCAACGTTTTTTTAAAAGCCCTCAACGCCCGGGTTCTCAGCCTGAAGCGGCCAGGAGCCTGTGTCCAGGCAACCAGAAAGGCCTGAGGATGGTGGATCTTGCATGCACTCTCTCCATCCACCCGGGAAGCACTACAATCATCCAAGGTTCCCTGCCCTCGACTCCCGTGGGCAGTCTCGGGTTTACGCCGTCCCTCAGTTCTGTGTCGCCGTCCCTCAGTTCTGTGACAACTTCCAGAGGCCACTCGGAACTGCCGGGAGCTTCTCAGACCATGGGACCCGTGGAGTTAAGTCTGAGTCACTGCCCGCCCGCCCGATGAGGAGCTGGGGCGCAGAGTAGGGGCGGTACCGGCCCGAGCAGCCGGCTCGGCTAGGGAAAAGGAGGAAAGGCGGGATCCTCCGGGAAGTTGATTCTCAGATGTCCGCCTGCAGCCACTGCCAAATTCCCCACTCCCTCTCCTTTTCCCTCGAGGACAGATCGGGTCCGGAGTTTTTAGCATGGAGGTGGGGCGTTGTCAGCAGGAAAGGCCAAGTTTTTGAGCGGCGCCTGAGCACACCCAAACTCTCCATCCCACTGACCCACTCCAGGATGGTATCTGCCCAGAACCTCGGGAGGGACGCAATGACCCAGCTGGGGTTGGGGCACCTATCAGGGCCTAGGCGAAGCTGCAGCAGCACCGCCCCTTGCAAAAAGTTGCCCCAAATTTCTTCCCTTTGGAGGCTCCTTCTACTCCTCTCCCACCCCTTCCTGCCAGGCTCCCCCTTAAATGGTCCTCCGCCTTTCCTTCTCTCCTATCCCTCCTCATCCTTCCTCATCTCAGTCTTTCCCTTTTCTTCCTAGCGTCCCACTCCGCCCCCACTTCAGTGTCCTCCTCCACCCACCTCCTCCCTTGCTCTTTGGGCGTCCGCGCCGTCAATCACGGGCGTCGCGGGCCTCTGCCCACCCCCTCTCCGCCTCTAAGGTTCTCCGAGTGCCTCCGGCTTCTGTCTCGGGCCGCCCTCCGCTTTGCGCGAAGCTAGGCGATCTGTCAGCGGAGCCGGCCGAGGGGAGCCGCCCGGCCCGCCGGGGCTCGGGTTACCGATGACTGACAGCGTCTCCATGGCGAATAATTTGACTCGACTATTGTCTGGCACAGGCAGGCCCCGGGTCAGATAACCCGACCAATCAGGGCGCGGGCCGCCGCGCCTCATGCCCGCTTAGAATAATATTATTAAAAAAGCTGCGAGCGAGCTAGACGGGAGGGAGAACGAGCGAGAAGCGAGCAAGGGAGCGGCGGGCGGGCCCGGAGCATGCGGAGCGGCGCCCCGGGCGGGCCCCGGGCTTGGACGAGGGCGCGGGCACCGGCGGGGCGCTCAGGCGGCGGGGGCTTGGAACAGCACGGAGTCCGCGGTCGGCGCAAGGACTTACTGCAGTGACTCGGAACTCGCCTGGAGCCAGCACCTGGCCAGGGGGCTCGCCCCTCCCGCCGCTCTGCCCGGACGGCTGGCGGGGAGGCGCCCATGCGGGACCGAGAGGCGCGGTGAGGGCGCGCGGGGGCGGGCGGGGGTGCAGCCGGCACCATGTCCATGCTGCCCACCTTCGGCTTCACGCAGGAGCAAGTGGCCTGCGTGTGCGAAGTGCTGCAGCAGGGCGGCAACATCGAGCGACTGGGCCGCTTCCTGTGGTCGCTGCCCGCCTGCGAGCACCTCCACAAGAATGAAAGCGTGCTCAAGGCCAAGGCCGTGGTGGCCTTCCACCGGGGCAACTTCCGCGAGCTCTACAAGATCCTGGAGAGCCACCAGTTCTCGCCACACAACCACGCCAAGCTACAGCAGCTGTGGCTCAAGGCGCACTACATCGAGGCAGAGAAACTGCGCGGCCGGCCCCTGGGCGCCGTGGGTAAATACCGCGTGCGCCGCAAGTTCCCGCTGCCGCGCTCCATCTGGGACGGCGAGGAGACCAGCTATTGCTTCAAGGAAAAGAGTCGCAGCGTGCTGCGCGAATGGTACGCGCACAATCCCTACCCGTCACCACGCGAGAAGCGCGAGTTGGCAGAGGCCACCGGCCTCACCACCACGCAGGTCAGCAACTGGTTCAAGAACCGGCGTCAGCGCGACCGGGCGGCCGAGGCCAAGGAAAGGTACGAGTAAGTAGAACTTCCGCGCCGGCTTTCCTGAGCCTGAGGGAGGGAGTCGCAGGGAGTCTGCCCGTCCACCCTCCCCCCCAAAGGCCTAAACTAGACCCTCTAGTCTACAGCCCAACTGCAGCCTAGCCTGACCCAGACAGCACTTAGGTCTTGCTGGAGTCCGGGAGAGCAGGGATTTGTCTAAAGCGGGCAAAATAATGCGGGAAGTTGTCAATTTAATGGACAAGCAGCGAGCTTTGGAGCAAGGGCAGAATTGTGGGTGTGAATCCCCTGCAAGGTAGGCACCACAGGTGAGGCCTGATTTTCCTTCGAAAAACCAAGACCGATGTTTAGGCCTAGGTGGAGGTGGGTGGCAAATTTCTGGCTAGTTGTGCTTACCGCCCCCCACCCTCCGCACTTCCCAGTTTGGCTTTACACACCTCCAGGCGAAAATATGATTAGGGGTCAGGACTGGGATTAGAACTTCCCTAGTAAGGCCTGGGTAGAGAACGCCATGGACAAGAATTTTCCTTGTCTGGATGTGGAAGCCAGTCCTGTATCCCTCGTGGAAAGGACTAAACGGTAAAAGGCTCCAGGGAGGAGGTGTCAGCTCTGGGAGGGAAGAAGAGAAGCATAGCCCCCTTTTCTGCCTTGCTCGACCCAGCAGCCCGGCAGGCCCTTGACTTCTGTCTTCTCAGGTCCTAGGTAGGTAGGTAAGTATGTCTGAAGAGAGCTGAGACCCACTGATGGGCTGAGAGTTACATGTCCTCAGGGAAACCAGGACTTCCTGAACTAGCTTAAAAGTTGACCAGGAGGTCTTGTAAATGCCTGCCCTGTAGCTCCTCAGAGGTCCAAATCTGGACAGGAAAATGGGAGAGAAAGCTGATCGATCGATCGAAGGAACAGAAAATAGCCTGCAGGTAACTGGAAAACAGGACACTTGGGTTTGGTGATATGGGGTGTGTTCAGCCCAGAGTTTGAATGATCCTAGTTTGGGGTGGGGATGCTGGATGGTGGAAACAGATGGAGAGGGTGCTGCAGACTGGACCTTGAACTTGTAATATCCACCATGGTAAGGTTCTCATTCAGCTTCAAACCCTCTCAAGAAATCAGGAAGAAAACCTTTGGGAAGACGCAAAAAAAAAAAGGTGGGGGGATTCTACCCAGGATTTCAAATATCCACATCTGGTCTGGGTCTTTCAGCAAAGGTAGGGCAGAAGGTGGGTTCTCTGTGCTGGATGCCCTCCATGCAGACTGGCATGAGTCCAGACTTCTGAAGAACTGGATTTTTGGGCCAAGCCCCAGGTGAGAGTTGCAGATTGGGTCCCCAACTTTCTGGTTAAGATGGGCCAAGGCTAGGCCAGGACAAACAAGCACCTCCCTTCTTTCTTGCTTCTTCCAGGGGCTACCCTCCATGCTCCACCTTCTGGTCTTCTGGCTGAAGTTTTCACTATGTTACCAGGGAAAGGGAGTCCTCCACCCTTGGAGCCTCATCCGTAGGCCAAGTCTGTCCCCAGCCAGACGTTTCCCTGAGGCAGAGAAAACCAAAGGGAAATGAAGGCCTGTGAGATACCCAACTTCACGTGGGTCCCTCAGTCTGCAGGGTCCCTCATCGGCCTGTCCCCATTTCTACCAAGCAAACTTAGCTTGAGGAGCCAAGAGTGATCTGAACATACAGGCATCATTTCTTCCATCCTGCCCAGCCCCCAACTCCTGCTCACCAGCCACTGCTCCTTAAAAAGAATAGGGGTGGGGAGAGGACAGGAAGTGCAAAGAGCAGGAAAGATAGTCTTGAGATTGAGAACAGGGGACCCGGTGACACAGGGAGAGGGATGGAGAGAAATCTTGTTGGGGGTTGAGGGGTTGTGAGAACTGCCAGAAAAGAGAACCTGAGAAATTGGTGGAAATCGAAAAACACCAGCAACCAGCGTGGCGGCTCTGTCTCCTGAGAAGGGCGGCAGGTTCTGACTCCGGGTAGGATAGCTCTGAGTGGCCTCGATTTCTCCGCTGACCCCGCTGCTTTGCTCCTGCATTTGCAGGGAGAACAGCGAGAACTCCAATTCCAACAGCCACAACCCACTGGCTTCCTCGCTCAATGGCAGCGGCAAGTCGGTGCTAGGCAGCTCGGAAGACGAGAAGACGCCGTCGGGGACTCCAGACCACTCGTCGTCCAGCCCCGCGCTGCTGCTTAGCCCACCACCGCCACCCGGGCTGCCCTCCCTGCACAGCCTGGGCCACCCTCCGGGCCCTAGCGCAGTGCCGGTGCCCGTGCCGAGCGCAGGCGGCGCAGACCCACTGCAACACCACCATACCCTGCAGGACTCCATCCTCAACTCCATGTCTGCCAACCTCGTGGACCTGGGCTCCTAGGATTCTGTTGTGGACGCGCTTGCTTTCCAGACTTGGCGGGGGAGACCAGAGAAAGGCGGTGCCAGGAGGGCGCCCTGGGCCAGCGGCCCTACCAGGTACTGAAAGACCCGCATGCAGGGCGGGCAGAACTGCCGGGCAGCCGAGGCAAAGCCGACCGCTGTCTGTATGGGTCCTTTTTAGGGATTTATTCTCAACAAGTTGCTTTTGAGATCTTTTGGAGGCCAGGGACGGGGTCTTGAACCAGGCAAGGGAATAAATTATACACCATTCTCTCTCTCCCTACCTCTTTTTTTTTAATATATTTCTTCTCTCTTTCTTTTCTCCCCTTCTTTTGCCTTTCCCTTTCCTTCTCTTCCCTTCCTTCCTTTTTCTGGTTTCTTTCCTCTCTCCCCTTCTTGTTTTCCTTTTTTCCTGTTTCCTTCTCAATTTTTGGCTCTCTCTCTCTCTCTCCTCTCTCTCTCTCTCTCTCTCTCTCTCCCTCTCTCCCTCTCCCCTCCTCTCATCTCTATCTCTGTCTCTATCTCTGTCTCATCTTGGCCTGTACTCCTTCTCTTCTGGTCTATTTGCCCCCTCCCAACCCTCACTTTTCAAGAGTGAGGGGAAAGAAGAGGACAGTCAGGGCCTTTAAACCTAGGACATCTCCAAAGACTGTCACCCGAGGACCACCACGGCCCCCGCCTCACCAGGTTGTTGAGCCACAGGTGATGGCTTTTTGCATAGTAACTTAAGGAAACGAGAGAGGGGGGGCCCCAGAAGCCCCTGAACAATCTCTCTCTCTCTCTCTCTCTCTCTCTCTCTCTCTCTCTCTCTCTCTCTCTCCCTCTCTCTCTCTCTTTCTCTCTCCCCCTCCCTCCCTCCCTGCCTCCACCCCCTCACTCCTCTCCCCTTCTCCCTCCGAGGTTCCACTGCGCTGGCTCTCCTCTTCCTCCCAGGACTGTGACCGCGGTGCTCCCGGCAGAGCGCGCCTCCCTAGCCGCGGACTTGCCGTTTCCGTGTTATGCCCTCAGTGAATGTTCTTCGGGAGATATTTCTGCTTTTATTTTATAATAAAATTAGAAATCATAAATATATATGGATATATGCCACGAGGCCTGCGGGCCTAGAGTGCAACAGTGTCTGATTTCCCAACAGGAGCTAGATAACCCTGGTGGGCTTTTCTGGGCACCCGAGCTCCGATGAGACCCCTGAAACCGGGAGATACCTTCCCACGTAATGTCCCACTCTCTAGGTGAAGGGACGAAAAACTCTGAAACCTCCTGCCCCAAATACCTTAGTCCGGGTCCTAGGAAAAACTTCCTGCAGAAGCAGGGAGGGAGGCGGCGTGCTTCTCCCCACACCAGCCACCAATCAGTGCCACTTTGCACTTGGGGTGTAGTGGAGAGCTATGAAATCGGGCTCCGGTACTCACGTTTGCAGATGCTGAGGATGAGGAGCAAATTGGGCCAGGAAAGTTTTCTGTCGGACAGACTCCTCGGCGTTGGTCGCAGTCCCCAGAACTGGAGCGATTCGCCTACCCCAAGGGCAGCCATTGAGACCTAAGCTCCGGGTGCGCAGCCGGGTGTGGCCGCGACGCAAAGGTCTCTGCACCGCGAACCTGCACTGGGTGCTTCTGTGGGTTTGGCGTGGAGGTGAAGGTTGGGGAAGGAGGAAATCAGAGAAGACAGGGTAGCGGAGCCGCGGGCGCATGTTGTAGATGGGAACAAGTGGGGTGCCTTCAGTCGAAGTATCAAGCCAAAGGGGTGCCTTCCTGCGTGGTGCACTGCAGGTGCTTCTCAGATTGTAAATTAATCTACAGTACCGCCTCCCTTCCGGCCTTCTAACCCCCTTGCAACCGACACGTTCCGGCCGGTCCCGCCAGATACAAAAGGGGCAGGACTGCAAAGAGGAAGTTGAGGCTTTTTGGAGTCGGTTCACAGTGGTTGTGGCTGCTGAACATGTTCCTTCTGGAGACTAGGACTCTAAGACGATCGTGCCTGCTACAGGAGTTGGGGGGGGGCGGTGACAGGGAAGACGAAACATTTGTCTGGTCTGTGGCACCCCTTGGAACTTTTCCTTTCTGGTAAAATTGGCGCTTCCTGATAAAATCGGGATAAATTCAGAACATCTTTGCTCTTCCACTTTTTAAGAACCAAGGATTTCTTCTAGCACCGACTCAGGCAGCTGAGTGACCTAATGACTCAAGAGGTTACAGGCTGTGAGTTTAAGGGAATTCCATTATGCTGGGACTACTCACCGAGGCTGGAGTCCTCCGCTTGGGAAGGTGGCACCCTGGGTCCCTCCACTTCTGAACCCCAAGAGAAAATTCCAGTCCCACCAGCTCCCGTGGCCTCTGCTGGAGACTCTGTTTTCAGAAGACAAGTCAGATGAGCTTGAAAACTGGTCTGTGCTTGTAAAGCCTAAGCCGCCCAACCTCAGCTGAATAGAAGAGTGAAGTTGCCGGCTACTACCTGAACTTCCAGAGACGCACACAACTAAAGAAGTCGTTGCGCATCAGCCCAGCTGCATCGTGAGGCTCCTTGCTGAGTCAGAGTCCAGTCCATGCTGTCGTACTTCTGGGGATGAGGCACAGTAGGTTCAGTATTCCGCATTGCCCCTGCCCTCCCCATTGTCGAGTCCCACACTCACCGCCGGAGGCTGTGTATTAACTGTCACATGGACACATACACACATTAGGTCGACTAATCCTGCTATGTTCCATACATGTTGAGTGGCACCAAAACTTCTTACGCATAGTGATAACTTAGGGAAACACAGACTTTTTCACACACACGTTCGCATCTGCGCTCACACAAATACAGAAGCAAGCACAAACAGACCCTCAATCCATTTTCACACACATGTACTCAGGCACTGTCCCCTATACGTGCGAATAACGCACAACTGAATTCCTCAAGAGCGTGTGTGCTCTCACATGCCCGGCCACACCGAAGAGCGCAAATCCACAGTCACACACTGGTGTCTCGGTCAGCAGCCAGCAGTTCTTGCCCAATGACCTGAGGGATCAGGGCTCCTCAAAGTGACTTTCTGGGAAGGCCTCCGGACCTAACTGCTTGGTCCCAGAGAAAGAGATGGTCCCAGCCTGAAAAGGCAACGGATCGGGGATCCCAGCAGGGGCACCCCCTTTCCAGTCAGGCCAGGTGGGATCCCTAGAGTCTGCCCAGAGCTTTCACGTGCCAGCAGAGGGCGGGGAGCCAGTTCCAGGGCTTTTTTCGGTGAAACCAATCCCGCTTAGTGGCGCAACTTGCTGCAAAGGCCCTCTTTCCCTTACCGTTGGACAGCTAACCCGGAAAATGTTTATTTAAACGGGATGGGGAAAACTACACAGATGTGCTGAAAAATTCTAGTAGCTACTCTCCCACTGCATAAATTTTTACAAGTTATCCGGAGCTCCTGCTCCGACCAGAGCACGCCAAATAGACTTAATTTGCACAGCTCTTGCAGGGTGAATAAAGCCATTCCTGTCCGCGTCTATGAGACAGGATTCTCAGTGTCTTGTCAACCCGTCTACCTCCCCTCACCCACCACCCCCCACCAGGGGCAGCCATGGAAGCCTCCAGTTTTGCTCGGGGATCTAAAGGAATGCTGTCGCTTGAAAACGCGGAGTCTCCCCTTCTGCACCTCTGACCGCGTTGCCCTTCATTTTTTCCCTACCAGACTCCATGCCCACGCAGCCCGCCAGGACAAAACCAAATGAAGAAAGAGGAACCAGTCCTCATTGCTTTTGCTCAGGCTCAGGCGTAAAAGCCCTGAGCCACGGAGGGCAGAGGGGAGCAGACAAAGCTGTCCAAGCGTTGATCAGTTGGTCAGTCTCCTCTCCACCCGCACCCCAGCACCCCGTGGCCCTCCTAAGAACTTGGGTCAGGACCTTTTGGTCCCTGCCACAGAGGTGCATCTCGAAGGAGTGGTGCACCCGCTTGGGAAGCAGATGGTGATGGCGGCCATAGCCAGGAAAAGTTAAACAGAGCCAGGCAGATGTGGGAGTAAACACTGGGCTACTGAAAACACAATTTCGGCCCTTGAAAAAAGTAGAGGACAGCCAAGTGGAGACGTCTAAGTCTGCATGCCGGAATTTGGCCTCCACGGTCCCACCATCCCCTCTCTCCTGTGGGATGTCCCAGGGACTCTGAAAGAAAGAGACACAAAGGTTTTTGTGTTGACAGGTGAGCAAAGATCAAGGCGGGACTAGGCTCACGACGGGTCCCTTCCCTTTTTCGTATTTCTACTACAGCGCCACGGGCTTCAGTCTTATGAGCACTCCAAGCTACCTAGAGGACGCTGGAGGTTGACGAGAAGCTGTGAGTGCAGATGTACTGAGAGACGTGAGGAGGGCATGAGAGAAACTGTACAGCAAGAGGGTAAAAAAAAAACGTGCTGGTACGCGTAGACAAGGCGGATGTGCGCCTTACAGCGTGACTGAAAACATGGGTGTGCGTGCGCGTGGCCCGTGGGCGCCCAGGGCACTAGGGGAGCCAGGCAAGTCAGGTGACGCCCAATCGCTCCATCCTCTGAGCGGATGCGCCTGGGGCTGGAGGAGGGCCAGCATCTCCTCTCGAGCTGCCGGATCCCAACCTGGCTTGAGTTAGTCCTCATTCTTGGAGCCGCTGCCGACGTGCAGTCGGTGAACCGGGAGGAAAGGAGGACCTGCGGGTCGCCTCGATCCAAGAAGGGGGCGGGGAGGGGCAGCGGTGGCTTCAAGCGTGGTCTGGAAAGACCTGTCATCCTGATGTCTGGGCCAAGGACCTGCGTGCCGCCTCGCGGTAGTCTGTGCTGCTGGAACTCGGAAATAGCTTTTCCAGAGTGACAGGGTGGCCGCCCTTCAGGGGAGCCAGAGCTGGGGCCCGCTCTCCCGCTTCTAGGTGGCTACTCTAGCCTACCAACAATGGAGTCTCAGTAACACTGTAAAGATGGGTCAGGAAATGACCCACCTAGAGAGGAGCCCCTAGTTACCCTGAAGGCTCCCTTTCTTGTGGGACCTACAACCCCGAGAGGCCGCACATGGACGGACATGCAGGGAGAAGCCTTCTTTAGGACGCCCACAATCCCAGCCCCTCTCCAGCGGAAATCAGAGAGAGGCCCACTCTATTTAGAGCATCTAGCTCGTGCTTTCTCCCCGAGTAACAATATCCGACCCCTCCACTGCGCTGGTCTGCGGACTGGAGGCCACAGGGCTCCGCCTGCCTGCGGAAACCAAGGTCTCTGATGCTTGGGGGCGCCTGGCGCTGGCCACAGCTCCTTCTGCCCCAGTGCGGTGGAGTTCTGAAGACGAGCAGCCGGCGTGCAGCTCAGGCTGATTCTTTAGGACCTGAGCGCAGGGCAGTCGCGAATCGTGGCACTGAGCAGCCCCAGTCCCTGTAGTACTTTGCGCAGGCGGCCTTGCGCAGCCAGCGCTTGGGACAGCTATAGAAAGCCATTTACAACTTTGTCATCTCTGGAAGTCATCCTGGTACGGAGAACTCTACCTCTGCCAGTCCTGGGCACCTGGGCCTGACAGCCAGTGCCTGGGATTCTGGAGTTTCCTTAGCCGAACGTCGCCTCTGCTGCTCTACCCGGAGTCGAACTTGAGCCGCCCGAGGGCCTGTAAAGAGAGTAACGGTTCGGTGGGACAGAACAACAGCTGCAGCGGGCAAGACCTTGCGGAGCTGCCGACTTTCCATTCCCTTCCACCCGGGCTTTTTCAAGGGCCCGAGTGGTTCTGCCCAGACAGGGGTTCACTCGCTCAAAAACTCATTGTCCATGGAATTAGTCAAGTAACTTTCTCTGGGCAGTGAAGACACGAATTCATGTCCCTTCTTTGTTCCCTAGAGTAACTGGTCATAGCTACTTTTTTTCCCCCTTCCTGTACTGGGGTTTGAACTTAGGGTCTTGTGCTTGTTAGGTAGGCTCTCTATCCCTTGAGCCATGTCTCCAGCCCAAATGCTAGCCGTTTCTTCAATGCACGCCACGCATTGGGCACGTTCACCCTTGGTATCTGTTTAATTAGCAGCCAAATAAAGACGCTATTATTACTGGTAAGAGAAACTGAGGAGTCAGATTTGAGAACTTGCAGAGTCGCACACATTACAGAGGCGGGTCGGGCATTTGAACTTGATGTCTGAGATTTCGAAGCACTCGTTCTTCACCAGATATCAGCTCCTGGTCCCGGTTCCGGATGGCAGGGGTGGGCGCCAGTTCTCCAGCGGCTAGCAAGGGGACCGTTCTCAGCAGCGCATGGGTAATGCGAAACGATGGACCAGCCTGGCTACTGATGGAGGGGCAGCAATCTGGCTTGTGTTTTAGGGAGCGGCTTAAGTCAAGTGGAAGAATTTATCTCCTTAGAAATCCGGGTAATTACCCAGCTTCCTCACTAGCCCTCGCTGAGCACACATCATTCATCGCCCTGTTGCACCGCAGGCGGCTCCACTAGTTCTAGTTACTCCAGAGTAAAAAATAAGACCTTGGGGCCTCAGGTCAGTCTGCGACTCTCAGCCCCATCCTGACCATTCTGTGGGGATGGATGAGGCTTAATGAGGACCCTTGGCTGGGATAGGAGTCTTTGGTGAGACATCCTCCTCATTGTCCATCCCCATTAATCCTATGCTGATCAGGAATATAACTCTCATCTGAAGTGGTAGTATATTAAAGTTTTATTGCAAGCCGTGCTTGGTGGTGTAGGCCTGTAATGCCAGCATTCAGGAGGCTGAAGCATGAGGATGGTGAGTTCAAAACTAGCCTGGGCTACATAGCAAGTTCAAGGCCAGCCTGAGCTACATAGTGAGACCCAGTTCCAAAAAAACAAGATCTGAGGATGTAGCCCAGTGGGAGAGGTTTGTGCAAGACCCTGGGTTCCATCCCAGCCCTGGGAGGGGGGAGGACAGGAAAAGGAATCCTTTTATTCACAGAGT